ACTTTTTGAATTAGAGTGAAATAAATAGATTTGGACAATAAAAGGGGTTCCACGTATAACTTCTAGGTCTAAGAGTAAATCTTTGACTAAGTAAAATATATTTTTAAAACATATATTTGAGTTACAAATTTGAGCTTTTGAGAGTTTATATTGAGTATTGAGCTTTTCACCACTAGCATCGTAAAGGAGTTCATTGGTTTTTTCACAATATTTGGTAAGGATTAATCCTCATCTAATGCAATTTTGATCGGATGCATAATGAATTAAGACTCTAAAAGTAAATTTGAATTCTTTATTGACAATAATAGTCATATTACAGTAGCATTTTTGAAGTTGAATACGATTAATGACATTGACATTTTCTTCTTCAATTTGAGAAGCATGAGAAGTTTCTTCTTCAGGGGAAGAGTCATGATTAGAATTGTATTCTTGTTCCATTGTTTTGGCTATTTAGAGAACAATTTCCATATGAACATCTTTCATTTGACGTTCAATGAAAGCAATTTGAGTTTTCATTTTATTAATTTTTTTATCTTAATTCAAAACTTGAGGATTTTGAAGAGGGATTTCCAGTATTAAACCTATTTAATACATCCTTCTTATTAAATTTGTGTAACCGGAGGTTTGGAGGTATTTGGCAAAAGAAGAGAACATTTATTCTTTAATTGAGGATCTTTGACCTTCTAAATTATTTCTTCAATAAGTTCTTCTTTGGTAAAAACACTTGTGGTTTTACAACCTAAATTTCTTTTCCTTAACTTGAAGTGAAGCTAGAGGATTTTGAGCTTGTCTCAACATCAAAGTCTTTTTGATGTCGTTAAACAAGTTCAAGTTCGGAATCAAATTCTTCACCTGAACTAGAATAAAGTAGACCGAGAAGTTCAAGATTAATAATATGTTCATCTATTTGAAGATTATTAATTTTTCCTTCATAGGCCACTTATTAAAGTAGTGACTAGTTTGGTTACATTTCCAACATGTAATGTTCGAAGTTTTAGGAATTCTTCTCCTAAAAGACTTTCTTTTTTAATTTTTTGGAGGAGGATAGTTTTCAAAAGATTTTTACTTTTGAAATTGTTTTGGAAAAGATCTTTTATTTATGTAAGAAGAAAAACTTTTCTTTTTCAATTTTGTAGGAGGGGCAACTTTTTCAAATTCATATTGATCGCAAAATTATCCAAGTTGTTTATAACTCTCAGAACTTTCTAATTTTAATTTTGCTTTGAGTTTAAGATTATTACATAATGCTAATCCTTCTTTATTGACAAAGTTGATAATTTCGCCATAAGTCAAGAGAGCATATGGAATAGTATCTTGATGTTTTAAGTTCGATAGTATTCCTTACCCTTTCTGCAAAGAGTTCAGGAAGTTCATAAATAAATCTCTCTTTCCANTATCTTGATGTTTTAAGTTCGATAGTATTCCTTACCCTTTCTGCAAAGAGTTCAGGAAGTTCATAAATAAATCTCTCTTTCCAGAAAGATTAATTGCAATCTTCTAGAAATAAGACTCTGGAAAAGAACATATCCTTATACCGGCGAAAATCATGAAGTTTTGGACAACTAAGGTTTAATAAAATCTTAGACGTTCTATCTTGAAGAAGATTTGGGGTTCCAATAAAATGTTTGAGTATTGAAACTATCATTTTGATGTTGATCATCGGTTACTTGAATAATCTTGTTATGATCTTCAGCAGTAAGATAATTCCACTAGCTTTTAAACTGTCCTATGAAACCAAAAACTAGATTGCAGAAGGTGGCAACAGGGAATAATATCTCGACAAGTATAAGCTGTATAACACACAACCATCTTAATTGAAGAATTTTGATACTCTGTTAAACCATTAATATTCCATTCTACAATTTCATCGCTTGAATAAGAAACTTGAGGTTTCTTCTTTTTCTCATATAACATATCCCGGATAAAAAGGATGAGAGTAATAATTTAGAAGTTTTGAAATTTATCTCCTCAATTTATTAATTTGAGATGGTTAATCTTCAATAATTTGAGCTTCAAATTCTTCTAGATTGTCAATTGTATTGACATTCCTTGAAGTTCCAAGTTTAGAAATTTGATTTGCAAGTTCTTGTAGAATATTGGATTCACCAGACAAAGAATCCTTTTTGAATTTTGGAGTGAGTTTTGAATCAATAGATTTGAAAACGATATCTCGAGATTTCTTCCCATCTTTTTTAGACGAGGAGGCCTCATATTCAGAATTGATTTCAATTCTAGATAATTTGGAACAAACAGATTGAAGAACAATATTTGTACAATTGTTCTGAGATATAATATTTTTGATATCTTTAATTTTAGGGCTAGAATCTTCTGACTTTCATTAGGAATTTTTTTGAGAGGTGATGCAATAATTTCAGTGTTCCTATGATAAACAATTATTTCTTGGCATAGGAGGATGTTAAAATTGAAAACTTTGATCGGACGGAATCTTCCATGTTTTCCTATTAACAAGGGTATTTTAAATAGATCTAGTAGCAATTTTTTGGCCAAAAACTTTGATGCATGTCCATTCATAAAAACTAAGGCCTTAGGAAGAATCATAAAATTCTTCTCATAAAGATTCAATTTCTTCTTCTGAAATATTTTTCTAAGTGTGACGAAATTTTTTAACAAAAGGAGTTTTATCAATTTTGAATTCATTTTATCTATCAATTGTAAAAGAGTCATTACACTGACTTTCTAGTTGTTTAAATTAATTTGGTGGCATATTTGATAAAGTAGGAGAATCAGGCTGCTCCGATTCATTATTTTTGTCGAAAGTGTATTGAGTATTTGGAATATTTGGCGCAAAATCAACCCCTTTTAACTTACTTATCATAAGAAGTTGAATACCTTGCAGATTGAAAAAAAGATTCTAAGATCTACTTTCATATCTAGAGAAGTAGGACCTTCAGAGATTATTTGACATAGAGGCTTGATCGAGAATCACCTTAACATGTCCATCAAGAAATGAAATAATTTGATCAGGAATAGTTCTAATAGGAGAACGAATTAGGTTTTGAGTATTTTCAAAATTCCATTCAAATCCTCTTGATTAAAGATTCCATAGTATCCTTTTAAGAATCATGGTATTTGAATGAAAAATGTTGACTTCTAGCAAAAGACTTTCCTCATTCGGAGATGAGCACAGGGTTCGAATATTAAGTTGAATATTCATAAGCTTGTAATATATTTAATATATGTAAATGCTTTTGAAAGATCATCAAAATCGAGATCTTTTGTTTGAATTGGAAGAGTAAGAACATTAAGAATAACTCCATCAATATTGATAGTAAAATTGGTTTGCTTCCAAGATCTGACTTTAAAACAAATAATAATGAATTTTCAAATTTGAGAAGTTTCTTATCTCCAAGAGTTAAAAGAATGAGAATGTCTAGACTAAGTCTAAACAAAGTTTTGGCATCAATTTTAATACGTTCCACACGAAGATATTAAAATCTTTTTACATGGGTTTAAATAGTGTCTTTTGAGAATAGACATTTTAATCATAACTAAATTCTCAATTGTTGCTCATTTTTATACTTATTTTCAATGTTGTTCTATTATGTTCTCATTACTCAGTTAGTGAACATATCTTATCCCTTGTAGAGTTTTTATCTAAATTATTAGCGTGCCTTAAATGAGAGCAAATATTCAGTCGAACTTTTGTATTCATTGTTTTCTGCTTATTAAAAAATATAAGGGACAAATAATTTTTTTATACCCTCTCAATAGATTTCTTTTTAATCAAAAAATCCATCCTCATTAAAAGACAAATTACGTCAAATATAAATGAATGATAATAAACATTATAACAACGAGCAAATATTGAAAATCTTCGTTACAATTAAAATATGATGACCTATAATATTAAAAAATGAAAAAAAAGAAAGAAAGTATGATACTAGTCCTTGTTTAACAACTATTAAAATGAGTTTTGAAATAATGGTTTTTTTGAAAAATGTATTCCTTAAAAGTATAAAAAGTTTTGAATTTACGTAACGAATACTTATCATGAAAATGTGTGATTGAAAATAAGTTTGAAAAAAAAAAGAGTTTTGGTTTAATAGTTGTGAAACTTGAGCTAAATTACGAGCCTATATGGAGAAAATGTTTTTAAATTTTATTTTTCTAAATTCGATTTTCCAATACATTGTGTCGTTGTTTGTGAGCCTCATTTTGGGGGGAAAATGTATTTTAAATAGTAAATTAATAGAGAACATATAGTTAAAAATTAAAGAAATATTTTAAATTTGTGAATAATATTATTTTATTAAAAAATATGCTATTAAAATTAAATTTTGAAAAGAACAAATTTTTAGGGGAACTTGACTCAAACAAGGGCTTTTTATATAAATCATTTCTCACTCCCCAATAACTTTTTCAAGTCAAATTAACCCCGTTTCTTTAGCCTATAATCTATACCAGAGTTGCAGGCTGTTGGCTATGGCGAAGGAAAAGGAGCTCGACGTTTTGGACTCTTCGTACCTCCACCTGCTCTCTGCATTTCTCGCCATGGAGCCACCCAATGTCGTAATCTCCTTTGCCAGGTCAATTTCAGCCACCAAAACCTCTCATGTCATTTTGTTTTCCTATTTTCATTTAACTAAATCAAAATCACTCTTGACACAAGGGATTGTGGCGGAGATTCAATTACTGAAACAGTGCAGAACTTCATTTGGCGTCACTGTATTAGCAAGGCTGTAAGTATCAATTGTTGAAAAGGTAGAAAGATAAAAAAGATTTTTTAAATAGTTTTACTCCTTTTCAGGATGTGAAATGGCAGGGGCCTTACTTGAAAAGATTTCTCAAGAAGCTCATTGTTGAAATTGAATCGAGTGGCTGTGTAGTTTTGGATGAACTGTACGAGCAGTACGCTTTTTACATGACTTCCTTACGGGTAAACGGTTATAATTGCTTTTAATTGTTTAGCCTAGTCCAATCTAGCATTCGGTACAAATAATAGGGGAAATAACTATTTCGATCAATTTCTACTATAGTATGTTGCCCTGTTCAAATTGTCAATAGGGACATGGGCTAAGGGTGGATTGGAATTGCTGTTTATTTACACATTTATTATTTATTAAATAGGGCGATGATGCAGCTAAAGAGAACTCGAGAGTTTTGAAAATAATCTCATTTCTTTTTCCTGATGGTACAATTTTTTCTTGCTCCACAGCCCCCTCCCAATGTTATATTTTGTAAAAACCCATGTGTGAGTGTATTATTACTCAAATTCATGAGCAGAGTCTTCTGGAATCTTAAGCTGCTCGAAATCTAGGAAATTGGAGGTGAAACTTCAGTGTTCTCTCAACATGCTCGAAGGAGATACAGGGTAATTCTTCCACAATTGCATTACATCCCATGTTTTAAATAATTATTTGGTCTTATAGGGATAAAAACTTGTTCAAAGTATCTTGATTTTAAGTTTGTAAGGCTTACATGAATTAATTCAAGAGAGGAAGAAGTTTCTTCTCTACTGTGGCAGCTACAATAGCAGTGAAAATGGCCTTTCACATATCTTCAATATACGTATGATGTCTATCTTTAATTAACTTGTCACTATAATTCCATCTTTTAGTGATCTTGTTTATATGCAGTCACTTTGGTTTTTATGGTGTCTGCGTATAAATTTGTGCTTTTTTCCAAGCCGTTATCACACATAAAAGTTGATATATTTAATTTTTTTCCCTTAACATGTTATCTGAACGTTTCATTGTACTACCATGCTCATTATTAGGTGGGTTTCCACTCCCACATCATATCAACTTGTACCATGGACCCGGATACTTCTTTTACTTCCTTAATTCTACTTAAAGAACCACCAACCTACTTTGCATTGTTGAGCCTTTTGTACGAATTACCTTAAAATCCTTCACAAGTACCTATCCATCCTCCTAATAAGGATGAATCTATTTGGCAAAATTTTTGTCCATGTCTAAAAATTATTAGGTGAAACTCTCTGTGTAAGCACGTATTTGATAACTCCAAATTATATGCCAATCAAAACTCCAGAAAAGTATTACCTTTTTCATTTTGGTCCAAAATGCCTAAATGTTCATATACTTTTAAATAACCTGAATTTTTCCTTTACCATATTGCTCAAACAAAGATCTTAAATTAACCTGGAATTGCAAGAATCTATCTGGCCATTTTAAAATTGTTGAATTTTTTTGCCTTATCTAATTCTTTTTACAAAGCATATCCTCTAATTACACTAATGGACTCTTCTCCTGAAAGGCGTCAAAAAGGCTCGGTGGCTCGGGCGGCCCGCAACCCGACTTGGCTCGTGGCTCGGAGCAACCGATTCTAGGCTCGGGCCGAGCCCCAAAACGGGGCGTCTGCCCGAGCCCAGGCCGGCCCGTATAAACAGAAAAATAAATAAATAAATAAATAAATAAAAATGGTATAAAGCTGCCTGTTGGCAGCTGCAATATTATAATTTTCTAATATTCTACTTTAAGTTTTGTTTCTGAAACGGTAAAGTAATTTTAAATATTTTTTTATAAGTAAATTAACCTTAATTATGTTCAAATTCAAATTATATTAGTCAAATTAAGTAATTATGTTTGACTAATTGAACTTCGAAGACAAATTTAACTAAATACAAGTGGTATTTTTATAGTAACTTAAAACTTTTAGATAAAATTATTCAATAATATTATACAATCACACAAAAGACGTGTATTAAGATCTCATAATCTATTTATTTATAAAAATTGTGAACATGTCAAACTTTTAATGAAAAATAAATTTGATTATACTGAAACATCTATTTAAAGATAATATCTGAAATAATAAAATATTTATAAAAAAATGATAAACAAAAAAAACAGAAGAGTTTGATTGTGAATCTCTTTCACGCTCCGTGGAGTTTGTCGTGATGCAGCCATTGGGAAAAAAAAACGAGCATGGCTCGGCTCGGAAAGGCCTGAGCCGAAAGCTCGGGTCGAGCATTATTTTTTTTAGTTGAGCTTTGCTTGGTTCGAGCCAAAAAAAGCCAATAAAGCTCGAGCCGGAAGTTTGAGCTCGCGAGCCGGCTCGGCTCGGCTCGGCTCGTTGACACCCCTAGATCTAGTACATAAATATAATTTAGGGTTGGATATAGTCCGGTTTGGTTTGGCCTGGTTCGATTCCGATTTGGATTTGGTCCGGTTCTAACGAGAACCGAATCGGACTCGAACTTTTCAGGTATTTAGTAAGTGAAACCGTTGGGTCCAAATTTAATCATGGAACCATTCAAGTTTGGTTTGGTTCCATTCGGTTCTCAAGTTCCGTATTATAATTAAATTTTTTAATATTTACAAAGTTACATTAATTCAACTAATGATATATTCAATCTTAACTCTTACAAAATAACGTAATCCAATCTTATCTGTCTTTTGCGTCTCTCTTTGCTGAATTTTTCATAGATTTGATTGTTAAAATCAAAAGAAGAGGAAGATAGCGAGCTCATAATTAAAAGAGGTGTTATCGAAGTTGAATTCGATTTCTTCAAAATGGTAGAAACGACGATATGGTAGAAAAACAAATTTGGATAAAATTTAGTTCAATTTGATTAAATTGGTTTTGAACTGAAAATTAGAAATAAGAAAATCATATTTTTGGTTTCGAATTAAATTAACTAGTTAACAAATTTATTTAGAAAAATAAAATAATTTGGCTTATTTAAAATAAATTAATTTAAAATATTAGGTAGATTCGATTCTTGATCTAGAATCGAGAACTGAACCGAACCCGTCGGTTCTCCATTCAGATATCCGCTTGGATATTTAATTTAAGAAAAACTGTTCGATTTGGTTTGGTTCAGGTTCAGTTTGAGAGTTTTGTCTAGCCCTAATATAATTATATCCTTGATCCATATAACTTATATGATCTCATCTTTTAAACCTAATTATATGTACTCTATTTCAATTATTTTCCATGCTCGCAATCAAAAAATTTCTTGTTGTCTAATTCTTTCACTTTTTGTCCTACCGATTTAACTTTTTTTATGCAAGCTTTTTTGACTTCCTCAAGCATGACATCTGCTACTTCAAGTGGCAAGGATTTTCATGTATAGCCCTATATTCTAAGAACCAATACTAAATTTGGACTAAACCTTAACCTGCCCGTAATCTGTTAAGAGTGCCGGAACTTTAGTTTTTGACACATCAGGGTGACGTGCCGCTTCACTTATGGAGAACACCCTAGCAAAACTTGCCAATTCGTCACTACAATATTGTGATTCAATTCAATTTGTCACTAGTATTGGACACTGAAACGAAATATGTTGAAGGATGTACTTTGTAAGATGTGTCAGT